TACCAAAAATAATGTTAGTAAGATGTATTTTTCTCCATTTTAAATTATAAATAGTTGGATGTGATGGCACACATCTGTCAGCCCCATGGGTTACATAATGACTTCAAGGCCAACCTGAACTACATAGTGAGACTCCTTCCCCAAGAAACAAATTACCAGATAAAACTGTATTTTACGTATTTTCTTTATACTTCCTCTAAGTTATCTTAAAAGGAATAATCATCAAAACAGAGCTCCCTGTCTTTTAGTGACTACACAGATCAACTCCATCATACTTACCATGTTTTTAATCAGTCCTGATTGATGGAGAAATACACCTCAAAAGTTCCTAATCTTAGACTTGTATGCCTGTCCTATAAGCAGATTCCTAGAAGTGGAACTTTGCCATGTCAAAGGGTAAGTACACTGGTGATTCCATGAGGCCAGCTTTATCAATTTAGACTCCCACAGGCATATGTGTGAATGCTTCCTGCCCCCTTGCCAACAGATGTTATCATATTGGTATCAAACTGAGTTTATTCCAAAACAAACTCGCAGGCACACAAAGTTACTCACAAGCTCAGTGGGTTCATGTGAAATCTCCCTGGAGAAAGCGAGACCTGACCTGGATCCTCAAAGTCACTGAGGCCTGAGACAAAAAGGAAAGAGTCCCAGAAAGGAGGTGAGGACAAAAGGTGCAGTGGGAGAGGATATGATCACTGCAGACCAGCTGAGGAGCAGAACAAGTACACTGAGTGCTCAGGGGACAACTCGAAGAATGATTGACAAAGCAGGGCCTTCACTCAGAAGCAATCGAGTCAGCAGACAGCACTGGATTAGGGTAGAATGTCTACTTCTGTCTCTAGTCCACTCAACTCAAGAAACTAATTTACTGGGCTTCAGTTTCCTCATTTGTAAAACTGGGATGCTAGCCCTAGAACCAAATTTTATACAGCAAGAAAGTGTACATTCAAAGTAAATTTAAAGGTCAAGATAACAATGCCAGATAAGCAAAAGCTTGCAGAGAGAGAGAGAGACAGAGAGAGACAGAGACAGACAGACAGACACAGACACAGACGGACACCAAGAAATTTATAATGTGCCAAAACAACTAAAAGGAAATGAAGGAAGAGTAATAAGGGGGGGACAGACTGCTCCACCCACCAAAATCCTACCCCCTCAAGCCAGGATTCCACCCAGCCTTTCCCACCTAAGGGATTATCTCTTTCCTGAAATCCTGGAGCACTCTGGACCACTCACAAGCCTCTGCCACTGGGCAGCTACTTCCATTTTTGGGTTGGGCTGACCCAGACTGTAAGCCTCTTGAGGCATTGTACCCATTTCGGAAAACTACCACAGTGCTACGCTGACTCTACACTGAGTAGCACTCAATACTTGTTGACTGCTATGACAACTGCCATCTTATAATTGCAAATGTGCCCTTAAGTCTTCCTTTTCTAAACACCATGAACTAGCATTTCCATGTAACAAATTTACATGGAAGAGCAGAATCAAATGAACAAAGTAACAGAACAGGCTATGCAAAGAAGGACCACCAAGTGCACAGCTGTCCTTTGCCACCAGGTCTCAAGGACACTCTTCCCTGAATTGGGGCACTGGTCCAACAGCCCTCTCCACTCACTCGCCCCAGCCTTCGCACCCCCCGGAGGAAACTCATCGCTCTGCTCCTATCATTCCGAGGCTTAAAACATGACAATCCCTACATATTAGTTGTACTTTCATTATCCATGACTGAGAAATCACTGACGACCAAAACATGCCTGTGATACCAAGGCCGCAACAACACTGCTCCCCATAGCCAAGAAGTGGAAAGAGCCAAGATGCCATCAACGAACAAATGCGTAAGCATCTGTATGTCCATACAGTAAAATATTTTTTAACCATAAAAAGGAACGAAGTACAGACACATGCTACGTGAGTAAGCCTTGAAAACATGCAAAGTGTAAGAGAGAAGCCAGAAACAGCAGGCTAATGTGTGTGTGTGTGTGTGTGTGTGTGTGTGTGTGTGTAGTTAATTGAACTCATGACCTCAGCTTGCCAGGCAAGCATGTGCCACTGAGCTGTCTTCCCAGAGACAGCAGGCTACTTATCACCAGGATTCATGTATATGAAATATCCAGAGCAGGCAAATCCTGAGACCTTACAGCTCAGCAGTAACTAAACACTGGGATACGAAGCAGTGCAGAGACCATAATGGACACAAGGTGATCTTTTGGGAGTCATGAAAATATAGAACAGAGACGGTGGTGACTGGCTGCACAAAACTGAATATACTAAATGCCACTGAACTGCACATTTGAAAATAAAGTTTTATGTACATTTTATCACAGTAAAGAAAGGCTATTAAAAATTCAATGCATTTCAAATCTTTACCTACTCAAGCCTAAAATTAACTTGGCAAAGTGAACTACAAACACTGGAATGCAAAGCTGCACACGTGCAGGGGAGCACTCACTGGCGGCTGAGGTGAGGCTGCAACTCCCCTGCAGGGGCAGTTAATAATGACGGCATAAGGACTAGCCCTTCCTGAACTGCCCTGCTCTAAGCATCTTCCCTTAATCCTGTAAGATAAACACCTCTACTATTTCACAAATTACAGGCACAGAGAAGTCACATACCCCGTCCAAAGCAAAACAGCCAGCAGACCATGGAACCTTGGAATTTGAATGTGGAGCCAATCTAGTTTTAGAATGTATGTTCTTAACCACATCACCACTAACTCACAAAGCACAGACCTCACCCACTGTCTCCCTCCACTGCTCCACCCCAAACATTACCACTGCACAGAGCCACATTCAGCCTTTGCACACACAGCGCCTTCCACCTGGAGCCCCCATGTGGCTTTGATCCCTAGTATCTTGCATCCTCTAGGCCAGACATTAATCATCCTCTTCCCTGAAGGTTTCCATGAGGTAGAGGAAATGGGAACCTGGGCCTCGAGGGTTCTAGCAGCACATAATCTGCCTTACACCGTTCTTTCGACCTATGATCCTGTCTGCAAACCAGAGTGCCCATTTCTGCCTGAGGACCAGAATTACTGTTTTTCTCCCTTCCCCCAAACCAAAGATGCCAAGTACTCTGATGGTAAACATCAGGAAATGCAAGTCAATGGACTACAAGAGCTGATTAACAGAATCACTTCCACCAGCGCAGCATGTCAACAGCAACATATGAAGCCCTCCGCAGAGCACCTGCTTCTGGTGAGCTACATGACCACTTGGTGTCCTCTTCTGATCAGCAACTCTAGGCTCGTCAGCAAGCCTGATCTAGCCATTAATGGATTCACTGACTACTCCTGTTTTTCCTTCAATCACCATTGTTTTACATACTATATAATGATCCAAACAGATTGCCTTTTGAATGTTCTTCATTTCTAAGGACAAAAAAACCCTTGCATATGCCTTATGCTTAAGATATTCCATCCCTCCCTAAGCCTCAGTCATAGGTGGGGTTTCTCAGAGGTGGCTAGATTTAGGGTGTGTGATGCTGGGATTAAGAGTGCATGGTACTAAATTATCCCACTGATTAGTTTGGCAGAGTTCTGAGTGTGGATAATGGGAAGGCCCTTCCTGTATGTGGGTGGTGGCCTGCAGAGGCTGGACTGCCTGGATGGATATAAGGCAAGGACAGAAAGAAGGCAAGCTAGCTGCCGCTTCTTTGCTGCCTTCTGTTGACCACGAAGTGTTTCTCCTCTTGATATACCTCTGCCATGCCACCCTGCCTTGGAGCCAGCCAGCTGTAGCCTGAAACCTCTACAAAATGTTAGCTGAGATGTAGCTTTCCTTTAACTTTGGATGTTGGATATTTTGTCTTGGCAAAGAGAAAAGTAATTAAGACATATTCTTATATGATTTCAAAGGTAGAAATAATCCTAAAATGGAAGTACCTTTGAATCACAACACAACTGAAAGAATCTAGTTAGGGAAGGGGCCAAGGGGACATAAGGTCACTGCTGTCAGCCACGACCAGTGATTTCAGAGAAAAGGTCAAAGACCTTCGATTTCTTTTACCTTTAAACTCAACAGCAAAACCAGACATTTTCTGTTTGAGTTAGCTGTATTCAACTGACAGCATAGTTCAAGTTCAGAGATTAAACACTAAAAACAGAACTGGAAGAAGATGCTCACTGAACACACTGTGCTTGACCATGACACAGCAGAGGGGCTAGCCACACTCTGTAAAGCCGTGGCTCCCGCCAGATGGTCACTGCTTGCTCTAACACACAGCATACAGTCGTGCTCTGCTGCACTGAAACAGGAGGGCACACTGGCACACTAGAAAGTTAAGAACTGAGTTAATATTCAAAAAGTTCAACCAAACAATACAAAGATGGCAATTCGGCACTGAATATAAGCGCATTTACTTGTGTGGGAGAAAACTGAACTATAAATGTTGATCTTTAGTAAGAATCAAAATAGAAAATTAAAAATTTAAATTAAGATATTTTACATATCAGCTGGGAACAGGGGCACACGCATTCCAGAATGCTGCAAGTTAATGCAAGAAGATCACGCACAAAGCTGGAGCCCAGCCTAGGCAATGTGGTAAACCCTGTCTCAAATAATTATAAAATGGGATGTGGATGTAATTTATTGTGAAGGGCATTAACAAAAGAAAAAGGAAAAAGTGATGATACTGCACATCATATACTGGGTACAAAGAACTTTATCCTAAAGCTAAGTTACCAAAAATTTGTCTATAATCTTTGCCTTCTTTGCACATTTGAAAAGTTTAGATCAAGGGAGGATACTTCTGTAAACAATGTGCCCCCCCCATGAAGACAGTTATGCCAGACAGAATGGGATTCCTTAAAGGAATTCCTTAGACAAAAGCAAAATGTGCACAGAAAACAAACTGCCTTATCTTATTTAAGGTCTCTTCATGCATACACCCAGATCTGAGCTCCACAGTCATCTTAGTGTAGAAATGTAGGTCATATAGGGAAGAAAGAAAGCCATTTTTAGATGTCTCCCATCAAAATATCATCACACCGTACTTACTCCAGGTTCAACTTGACTTCTATCTGCAATATCTATGTGGACAACTTCAACAGTTTTCCATGTGTTTGGATCCAAATCATGAACCTACAAATGATATTGAAATGAAACAAAGCAAAGGCTGGTGGGTAAAATTCTTACAGTTAAGTTTTTTTAAACTCCTTATGTTTTTTATAGCTCCCCAAAATCAGGGGTTGGTGTGTATGTGTAAGGATACTGCCCAATGAAGAGAAAACAATATTATTTTCTGGCAGTCCTGAGCAGATAGCTTATATAGCAAAATGTACCTGTCCTGTGCAGATAGTATATTAACATATGGCATCGTTTAGCCTTCAAAACGTTGTGTAATATGAAGCTAAATTAGAACTTCGAATTTAAGCCAGGCATGGTGGCACATGCTTATAATCCCTAGACTTAAAAGGGTGAGCCAAGAGCTGGCCAGATAGCTCAGTGGACTAAAGTGCCTGCTTAGGCAGAGTACAGTGGCTGGGTTTGATTCCTGGCATGCCAAGCCAGCCCCTCTCTGGGGGAAACCCTGAGATGGCAACTGGGTGTGGTAGCACACCCCTGTAATCCCAGCGCTTGGGAGGCTGAAAACAGGAGAATCACTATGAGCCCGATCTACATAGTGAGACCCTCTACTAAATACATAAAAATAAATAAATAAAAATAAAAAGTGGGTGAGCGAAGAGAATTTACTACTGTAAATTCAATGCCAGCCTGAGCTACAATTTAAGTTCAAGGTCAGCCTGAACTACACAGCAAGACCATCTCAAAAGATTTGATTACCCTAAAGCTATTCATTTTCAGTGTGATTATCAACTCTATATTTCATGTTGATCAATTATTTATTTCTGAAACTGTGAACCTACTAAGAGTTGTTTTTAAAAACTGCCAACAGATATGCCTACTTTAAAGGAGGAAATGGCAGATTAACTCATGTATAGATTAAAACACACCCAACCATCTCTTTATACCCTAAATCTTAAGTGAATGAAAAACATAAAATATCAAATGATCACTCGAAATACTGCTAATCAAAACTCTGAAACTTCTAACTGGCATCAAGAACAAAATAGCATAATAAATTAGACCCCTGTGTTCACTCTTCTGGGGAGGCCCACCTTCACATTACAGAGTGTACTTCTTTTCCTTTTACTTAGCCCAAACCTGCTTTGCAGTCTGTTTCTATTCTTATCACTAATAAAACTTTGCTACCATAAAAAAAAAAAAGCACAGTAAAAGAACAACTTACCTTGACCATTAACTTATATTCCTGTGATAGTATATCCTAAGTTTGGAATAGTAGATCTCAAAGTAGGACCTGTACCCCAGAAATTCTAATCGAATAGCTCTAGGGCGGAGCCTAAGTACTGCATTTCTAAAAGTTCTCACAGATGCTGCTGTTCCTGCAGGGACACTTTTGAGCACCACCAAGCTCAGGGCAGGACGTGAGCAGACACCCTTCCAAGTTTCACAACATTCCTTAATGACATTTCTTTACATCTAGATGATACACATCATTTCTGACTTCAACTTTTTTTTAAATAAGTATTTTTTTTTTAATGTATTTTTGTACAGAGTCCACAGGGTCTCGCTACACAGATTGGACTTGTAGTGATCCTCCTGTTTTCAGCCTCCCAAGCACTGGGATTACAGGCGTGTGCCACCACACACAGTCTCATGTGCCGTCATAGGGTGCCCTGGCAGTGGGGCCAGCACAGCACGTTGGGGACCCAACCCTCTCCCTGCATCTACCTAGCAGGCACTTTAGTCCACTGAGCTATCTGGCAGGCCCTTTCTGATTTCAACATCTATCCCAGCAAACTGAAATGGAGGTGAAAATTAAAGCACTCAATCCTGCAATGGTACAGACAACAGCTCTGAAAAATGCAAAGATGAAAACAAGATAAAACTAATGGCTAAAACTGGTCTAGAGATTATCTGCATCTCATACTCTTCCCATTTCAGAAAGATTGCTGATTAAAGCAGCAATATCACCAAAGCACACTCAAGTGCCCAGACATGGGAACAGAGAAGACACGTTTGTGCCCACTGCATCCTCGCTCTGACCCTGCCTGACGTGCCCAGGTGCAATCTAGTTAGCAGGACATCACTGTGCTAACATTCCCATGTCTGCTTTATGCCATGCTTGCTACTTACAGCCATTCCTGTTTACAGAAGATTCCAGATTGAATTCAGACTTACATTTTCTAATGTTCCCAAGTCTGGTTTGTGCCACGTTTCGATTTTAATGAAGAAGTCATCTTTCATATATTCATTCTGCAGAAAACACAACAGGAAAAGGCAAGTGATCTTCCCTGGTTCTGAGGGACTGGAGGCTCCAGAAGCATTCCCAGCACAAGCATGCCTACTCTGATTTTCCAAACAGGCCTCTCTGCTAAGTGATGCAGCCATTGCCACAGTTTTTACAGGCTTGTCAAGAAAACTAAATGCTGCATGCTTTTAAACAATCTAAACAATCCTGCCTATCATGTAGCACACAGGGCTAATAAAGACGCTGTGAGGTTTGGTCAGCAAATCTGGCATATAAAGTAGTAAAAGCAAAATGAAATCAGTAGGGAGATTCTGAGCTGAGGCTAGCAAGAGGCCACGCACCCTGAGAACACGCGCAGTGTGGACTGGGGGGAGCACAGGAGGCATGCAGCAATGCGCAGCTTTAGCAAAAACCCAACATGGTTGAAAATAATTACTATGCAGAACAAACTTAAAAGATGAAGATGATGTGACAAAAACAGTCTTACTCACCGTTACAACTGAGGCATAATGGAGAGGCAGGCAATAAAACAGGAAAATTTTCAGATTAATTCGAGTTAAAACAATGTGTCCCAATATTTTATGTCACAAAGACTATAAACTACCTGAAAACACAGAACGTTTAGTAGCTTATGCCTTCAAAATAGTTTCTACACAATACCATAGGATACTTTAGGTTAGTCCAAATAAAATGTGGAGAATAAGCTAACTTTAGAAACGTTAAAGAGAATGGTACCATGAAACAAAACACCATTTATAAAGTTGGTTTAGCAAATAACAGGAACTGTTTAGAAATTCATTACACTCCTCGTCTATCATGTGACCAAAAAAGTAAAACACTACTGAGTACCCCAGAGGTGCTGTGGAGTGCAGATGACCTTCACTATGACTTCTCTAGTAATGTGCTTACCCCTGAGCCAGCAGTCGGCAGGGACCCTGCTGTGGCTATCACCGGTACATGAACTCATCCCCTTCATGAAAGTCTCGGGGAGAAGCCCAATGCAGCCACTGCTGCCACTGCTGGAGCAGTGACTACCCAAGAACCCACAGAAGGCCACGCTTGGGGTACCCCTTAAGCTTAAAGGCCTCAGCACCAAAAAGTTGCTCTCCTTATCCTGGGGCTCGACGGTAAAATGGCAGCTGGGAACCAGGCTTACTTGTTCTACAGTAGGGATATGAATTCCAGGCTTTCTCATGAAATACCAACGAGCCTTCGGGAGCAATCATCCTCACGAATGTCGGAACTTTGCTGTGAAGACAGATTGCACATATTTTCAATTATACCATCATTTTTTTTGTGGAGTGAAACAATACTATTATCAAATGTGATCATCTTCTAAATTTGATAAAGTATTCAAAACTGTGGATGGTTTTCTGTTTTTGTTTTCCTTTTCTTTTTTGAGGTAGGGTCTCACTTTGTTATTCAGGCTGGTTTTGAATTCACAGCAATCCTCCTGTCCCAGCCTCAAATGTGCTGGGATCATAGGTTTGTGCCACCACTCCCAACTCCAAGACTATTTTCAAGTTTCACATCAACTCCAAAGTATCAAGTGGAAAATTAACGTTAAAACATGTAATTAAGCAAGTTTAATTACAGAGGTTTTTACAGGAGCAATCCTTTCTTAAAGACTTCTGCGCTCCCCTAAAGTGAAAACTAAGAGCTAAGCTGCTCTACCTCTCCACTAATGCAACATGCCAGCTTTCTGATGCAGATAAGACTACACTGTGCGTTTTCATGATGTACAATAAGCTCGAGAAGGGATGAGTGCCTCTTCTGATGTACTCTTTTAATATCCTTGACAGAACACACCAAAAGACTCCGCAATGTGACAGTGCAGAAAATGAGAAATCAAAGCATATCCCAAGTATAAAATTCTGCAGGTAGTAATGACTGTCACTCACTGCCTCAAATATGACCAAAGGAAGGGTTAAATACATGATTAATATCCACATCCAGGAAGCCCGTGCAAATTCCTAATAGGAGTGACTCCAATGGACCAAAAAAAGAAAAAGAAAAAGAAAAACCTACCAATATATTATGAAAACCATGCTCATTAACACATAAATGGAAAATCAGTCTTGCTAGTCTTCAAAATAACTGCTTTTACTGGAGCCTCCTGTCAACATAGCAGCTTCACACAGACTGGACCCCAACCCCAACCCCAACCCCAGCACATAGAAGCTCTGTGACCTCGGGCTGCCGCTTGACTCCTCTCAGCTTCCTCTTGTGCCGAACAGAGTTCCTATTACCTATCCCAGTTACTCCAAAAATTGAATCAGGTAAAAGTCCCTAATGTATTTAGCACATCATAAAGTACAAGCTCAAAAAACAAGAGCTAAAAAATGGTACTCATCTTAAATTAGAAACCAATATGAAGCTAGGTACGTTCCCATGCTTTCTTTACTAATATTGTAAAGTATTACTTCATTTCAGATAACCAGCATTTAAGTGACTTTCTAACTGTCCAAACTATGGTTATGTTCTCCAAATTTAAGTATTACCTAGGTCTTTCTGCACCACAGTTGCTTTTTTGAGAACTTTTTGGGGTTTGGTTGTTTTGAGGCAGGGTCTCACTATGTAGTTAAGCCTGGCCCTGAACTCCCTTATGTAGGCTATGCTGGCCTGAAACTCAGTAATCCTCCTGCCTCAGCCTCCCAAGTGGTAGGATTCAGATGTGCACCATCATGCCCAGTCTCACAACTTTCAGGTAACTACTGCCTCAACTAAGAGAAATAACAAACTGAGAAAATATGGGGCATAGTTTCTGGACTTCTGGCCCTGAACAAATATCATATAGTTGGCCAGAACCACTCTGCTGAAGTTCGGAGACAAAGTCAGGCAGACAGTGAGGACGACAGAGAAGACTGGCCAACTAGGTATGGAGCAAAGACAGACAACACGGGGCCAGGCCCACTTTAGAAACCAAAGCCTGGATTTTATTTTTTTTATGAGAAACCACTGAAAGTTTTCTGAACGGAATGACGCAACTCGATATAAGGTTTAAAATCATGCCAAGGGTATGTGAAAAATTACAATAGCCAAGAATGGATGATGGGAAAAATTAATTCAAAATGGATAAAGATACTATAAAATTCTTAGAAAAAACAGATATAAATCTTTATGATCTTGGAATAGGTAACAGGTTTTCAGGTGTTACAAGTTAGGTCAAAAATTCCCCCAGAGTGGGGGAGATAGCTTATCAGTCCAAGCACCTGCCTGGCAAGCACAAGGACCTGAGTTCGATCCCCAGTATCACATGCTGTGCCACCCTGGAACCTTGAGCACACCGAGCCAGCCTCAAGACCAGCTGTGGTGGTGCACACCTGTAAGCCCAGTGCTGAAGAGGTTGAGACAGGAGAATCACTACAAGTCCAAACTGCATAGCAAGACCCTGTATCAAAAGATAAAAAATAAAAGAAAAAAAAAGAATTTCCCCTAAAGCCTCTTGGGGAGAGGTGAGCTTTAGGAAGGTACCTGGGCCATGTGGGCACCACACTCATCACCTGTGGATAAACCCATTGTGATTTCAGTAGCTAAGTGTTCTGCGGACAGTGGGAATTGGTCAGAGGGAAGGTCACTAGGACTGTGCCCACACCCTTCTCCCTCCTTCCTGCCTATGGCCATGGCGTCAGCAGCTTTCCTCGGTCAGGCCTTGGTGCTCTGCTGCTTCTCTCTGGAGCCAGCCAACCACGAGCTGAAACTTCTAAGCACCAGGAGCTCAAATAAACCTAAATAGGTGTCACATATGGCATACCACAGATGACAAAGTAACTAGGTCATTAGATAAGACACCAAAAGCACAGAACACAAGTGGTAGGGATTGTAGCTCAGTGGCACAGGCCTGCCTGGCAAGTGTGAGGTCCTCAGTTAGATGTGAGGTATCATTAAAAAAGAAAAAGAAAAAGAAAAAAAACTGCCAAGCTGGACTTTACCAAAACTACTTTTAACTTTTATTTCAAAAGACAATGTTGGGCCGGCCAGATAGCTCAGTGGATTAAAGTGCCTGTTTAGGCAGAACACAGGGGCTGGGGTTCGATCCCCAGCACAAGCTGTGCTGGCCCCGCCCCCAGGCACGCTGAGACAGAAAGAGAGACTGGGCGTGGTGGCATATGCCTATAATCCCAGCACTTGGGAGGTTGAAAACAGGAGGATCACTAATGGAGCTATGTAGTGAGACTTTGTATTTAGTAAAAAAAAAAAAAAAAAAAGACAATGTCAATAAAGTGGAAAGATAACTCACAGAATGTGTAAAACGTGCAAATCACATATCTGGAAAAGGACTAATATCCAGAACATATAAAGAACTCTTACAGTTCAATAATAAAGCAAACAATTAAAAATGGTTAAAAGACTTAGCTGGACATGTTTACGCACACCTCTAATCCCACAACTTGGGAAGCTGAGGTAGGAGGATGGCCAGAGTTCGAGACCAGCCTGAGCTACACAGCAAGATACTGTCTCTAAATAAATAAATAAATAATTTAAGTATCTTCCAAATATACACAGATGCCAATAACCACAACAATGCGCAACATCATCCGTCATCAGGAAAATTCAACTCAAAACTAGAACACAAAAAAAAAAAAAAAAAAAAAAAAACTTGTACAAACACACACACACACACACACACGCACACACGCACGCAAACAGCTATACTCAAAAGGATAGATAATAACAAGTTCTGGTCAGGATACAGAGAAATTGGAACCCTTACACACTGCCGATGATAATGCAAACTGATGTTGGCACTTTAAAAACAGAGAGCCCCTGAAAAGGCTAAGCACTAGCATAGGACCCAGCAACTTTACTTGCTAACTGATTTCTCCTCCACACTACAAATACCAGTATCTAGATTTTGAGATAACGCCAAGAAAAATGAAAGCTCAGTTCACACAAAACTTACAAATGTGCACAGTAGCATTATTCATAATAACTAGAAGGTGGGAACAATGCAAATGCTCAACAAGTGATAAAACAAAATGTGATCTTTACACACAATGGAACTTTATTCAGCAATGAAAGAGAAGTTCTACTAAGTACATCAATGTGGATGACTTGAAAATACTAAGTTAAGTGAAAGCCAATCACAAAGGGCCACACAGTATGATTCCATGGGGAGAGAGGGTTGAAACCGCTGCTGGTTATAGATTGGACTTGTTGACAATGTTTTGAAATATGATAGCCATGATAGTTGCATGACTCTGTGAATATACTAAAAACCTCTAAACTCTATACTGTGAAAAGATAAACTGCCAGAGGCACTTGCCTGCAGCCCCAGCACTCAGGAGGCTGAGGCAGGGGGACTACCATGAGCTCGAGGCCATCCTGGGCTGTGTTGTGAGTTCAGAATCACCATACACAGCGAGAATGCTGCTGAGCTATCTCCCTAGCCGTCTAATCCCACAACTTGGGAAGCTGAGGTAGGAGGATGGCCACAGTTCGAGACCAGCCTGAGCTACACAGCAAGATACTGTCTCAAAATAAATAAATAATTTAAGTATCTTCCAAATATACACAGATGCCAATAACTTTAATGGCATATATATTGGAAGTTATATATATAAGTTATATATATTATATAGAAGTTATATATTGGAAAATATATAACTTCAAAATATGGAAGAATTAAACAAAAAGTATCTTTCACCTAACAGAAAAGGATAGAAATGAAAAATGAGATATACCACAAAATACACAATATATTTCAGAAAATATTTCCACTATCTTTTAAATAGAATCACTATTCAGAAAACTCTGAACTGCTGGGGAGACAGCACAGCAGCATAAACACCTGCCTGGCCAAGTGCAAGGTCCAGAGGTCAAGCCCTGCTCCCCACCCCACCCACCCCCAATGTCAAAAAAAAAAAAAAAATCTCTTAATTTGTGTTTAAAGAACAAGTTTTTGTGTGTGCGCTTTGAGACTGGGTCTCACTCTGCAAGTCAGGCTGACTCTGAACTCACTATGTAGCCCAGGCTGGCCTCCAACTCATGGCACTCCTCCTCCCGAGTGCTGGGATTACAGGCAAGCGCCAATACATGGTGGTGAACTGTGAACTGTGTAAAACTGAAGACTGAACTGCCTACAAAGAAAATAAAGGTAGGTGTGTCTGGATGGTCAATTTTCAGCTCAAGAATGAATTATGATATGTAGCTAATATTAATTTCTTATACAAGACACCCACTGAATATGAAACACCATATATAACCCAACTTTGAATTTTTAGGTGACTTGAACTTATTTTAAAATATAGTTTAAATTCCTGGAGAGTGAGTATTTTTTGCTTACAGAAATGAAATCTTACCTTGAACCACAAGAAATTTTAAAATGATTTTTCAGTCAAGTATCTGCTGTTTCCACCCCTGGAAAATAGGGCCATTCTGGCACAGGCAAAGCATCACAAACTCCATCATCCAGGACTGACTGAAGATGGTAAAGGTGTAATGCTCATAAATAAAAAAGAATAAAGCTGACCTCCTACAAGAAAAGAGAACACAAAAATCTAACAAAAGACCACTCAGTGGGCTCATTCAGGGAGATTTCAGGAGAGCTAAAAGCTTTCCTCTGAAATAACCATCTCAAAAATTGCAACAGTTCCTGTGGGCAGCCTGAGGTGACCTGTGAAAATGGTTCGCTACTCTCTCGACCCAGAAAACCCCACAGAATCACGCAACTCAAGAGGCTCAAATCTTCGCGTTCACTTGAAGAACATGCGTGCAACTGCCCAGGCCATCAAGGGTATGCATATCTGAAAGGTCACCAGGTATGTGAAGGATGTCACATTAAAGAAGCAATGCACGCCTTTCTGGCATTACAATGGTGGAGCTGGTAGGTGTGCCCAGGCCTAACAGTGGGGCTGAACACAGGTCACTGGCCAAAATACAGTGCCGAATTTTTGCTGCATATGCTTAAAAATATACAGAGTAATGCTGAACTTAAGGGTTTAGATACAGATTCTCTGGTTATTGAACATATCCAGGTGACCAAAGCACCCAAGATGCGCCGCCGTACTTATATAGCTCATGGCCAGATTAACCCATACGTGAGCTCCCCCTGCCATATTAAGAGGATCCTTACTGAAAAGGATCTAGATAGACAGACAGACAGACAGACATATATCTATCTATATATATATACACGAATTTCTGTGAAAATAGGGTAAAAAAGGACAAGCATGTACACATACGGAAAAATACTCTATCCAAACTTAAAATGAGCAGAAAGGCCAAATATAATGAGTTCAGTAAGAAAGGTCAATGTACTTAAATAGCCAAAGAATGTCAGCACAGCTCAGAACACCAAGCAGAATACAAAAAGTCTGAGAAGGGGTGGGCAAAAGCTGGGCAGGTTACCTCTGGAGAACAAGAAAAGAGAATGGCTTCTTACAGCTAAGGACTTTTATTCTGAAGGAAGCTACAGCAATGTGAATAATCTTTAGCACTGTAAGTTTAACTTTATTTGAGTATACATAAGTCTTAAGAGACATGAAAAATTAAGACATGGTGCAACTTGTGGCTATGGAGAATTTCGAAGAAGCTCACTTCAGAAAGAGGAATATATTCAACTTTCCACAGGGAATAGGAGTACACCAGTGCTTAAGAGGGCAGTTTTTGCATCTACAATGCCTGCCTGGGTTCATGTCCTATCTCTGCTATCAAAGAACAAGGGACAGCAGCCAACACTCAAGATCTGAGGAAAGAGCAGGCCAAACAGCACAGCGGATGCACAGGAGCCTGGGGTTCGATCCCACACCCCCCAGCCTGCCAGCCATGCCACTCCACCCCCTGGGCATGCTCAGACAATAATTGAGACTGGGTGTAGTGGCACGCGCCTGTAATCCCAGCTCTTGGGATGATGTAAACAGGCGGATCACCTTTAGACCCTTCCCTAAAATACAAAAAAAAAAAAGATCTGAGGAAAACAGGACTCTTAAAATGTTCTCTGCAAACAGTCACTAATATGGGGGTTTTTCTAACATCTTCCCAAGATTGTTTCTCAACCTCTTGGTTGAGGCCAAGTGTATAAATCTTACCAAGAAATGTTTTGCAGAAATGGGACAGTATATACTGGCCTGTCTCCAGAGAGCAGCTACCACTGAATAAAGTGATTCTCTGAATTTCAAACATCTCAGGCTCTTGGTTGCCTTGGCCAAGTTTGCAACTCTACTGACATTTTCAAGAGCAGTGCACAGCGCTTGGATTAACTAATTGAATAATGCTAGAAAAGGAGATACAAGTCAAGGGCACAAACCTAACATTCTCAGAGAACACTACACACTGTAAGGACACGGGGCTCACCTCCAGCAGGCTAACCTGAAAGCAGCCTGAGGACACTGAAGTGCAAAAGGGGCTGTCATGCCAGGCTTGCCTAAGGACCAAAATCTTTCCCACAGACACAAGGTCGGAGCTCTCAGTGCCACTGGTTGCCTTTCACAATACAGCCACACTGCGGCTCGTGTGCCCTCACCTCACACTACACTGACGAATCTGTGCGCACACATTGGCTTGCCCTTGCCCAGTTGCTTTTCTCTCTCCCAGGCAAGATCAACAAATGCCCTGTGTTTTGTCATCACTGGACAGGTTTTTAATTGTTTGTCCTTACTGAGAGGTTACCATTTGCCACACTATCTGAGACCCATTACTGCCACACTCTGTACTTCTTCCCTCTCCTGTCTCATGATTCTGTCCACGGTACTATCTCTCTCTCCTTTTTACAGGGGCAGGGGATCCACCACCCACTTCCCTCCAGTCAGTCCTCCTCTGGGCCTTCTCAAAGGAGACAAGCTCACTGGGCCCTAAGTGCTGAGGTGCCTATTACGACCAAAAGAGAAGCCGAAATCCTATCTGTCACCATTCACACCATTAGCTGTGTGATCTTGAGTAAATCTGCACCTTTGTACATTCTCACATACACTGTGCACATGACCTATTTCTCAAGACTACAGTGAGAGACGAATGCATAGAAGAGGTAACAGTGATTTCAGCTCTATCTAGGAATAAAGAAGTTATTCTAGAAACCCAAGTGTGCAGAAAAGCTAGCCTTCAGAAAAGAAAGCCTATCTTTTATTTAATCCACTAAAAACCTAAGAGTAGAATTCATAACCTCTAGTCCAAATAAGCTCTGGAGTAAGAATATCACTTAGACTAGCCACACTTACAGTCTCAACTGAAGAGTCTCATTATCTATGGCTGTATGTGTTACCTAAATCAGATGCTTCAAACTGATAATAAGCAGGGTTTTTTTTCTCAGAAAAATAAAACAGTCCAGGCGTGGACACACAGACCTATTATCCTAGCACTAGGGAAGCTAAGGCAGGAGGGCTGCCACAACTCTGAGCCCTGCTTATGTGTGAAGTCTGGGCTACACCAGTGAGTTCAAGGCCAGCCTGAACAACATAGCAAGACCCAGTCAGAAAAACAAAACAAAACAAAACCAAAAAAATGAAATGAAATGAAGAAAAATAATGATTTTTACTCTTAATTTTAGAAATCCTTCTTGAACCACCAAGTGATCAACATTCCTAACATTTTAGCCATCCCTCACCTTAATCATGCCACCACACCAAGTCATTCTTAACATTTTACTGAATCTCTCTCTAGGACTTTTTTTAGTTTGTGATTCTCTTATCTCAACTGACATTTGGATTTCTCAAGTGGACTGTACAACAGAAACAAGAAAATTCAGACCACAATAATAAAATTGTAAGTAGAGTTTAACCAAGAAAATACAAAAAATACCGATCGCAACTGATCTACAACTTTAAGATGCTCAATTAACATGAGTATGATTTATTTTAATACTAAGGGCAGATTACCTTGGAACCTTAATAATCTAGGAAGCTGTACTCTTAAAAAACATCACTGATCTTTGGCCCTTACAGAAACATTGGTACACATTTTCCACTTTAATGTTTAATATGAAGAACTTTGAGGAATATGCACAAGAACTCAAAAAAAAAAAAAAAAGACTTAAGTACTTGAATAGTAAAATCACAGAGAAAGTCAAATAGTCAATTAGCACACTAAAAGACATGCAACCTCACTAAGAGAACACAAATTTAATTAAGATGGTATTTTCTGCTTAAGAAATTAAGTAAAAGTTAAAAAATATGAAAAAAAAGGATAATCTAAAGGGTAACCAGCCAGTAACAGTAAAATTTTAAACTAACATGTGCTCCCACCAATCTTTTTATTAAATTCTCCCAGAGAAATAGTTATCTAAGGCAGAGCGATGTGCAACCAGGTTCAGAGAAACAGTATTGGTAAGAGATACCAGTAAACAGTTAAAATCCTCAAGAGAACCTAGCACTTAGGGAAGAGGTAAACTAAAGCTTTTACTCAGAGTCACATGAGAATTGGGGAGATAGTTCAGTGGCCTAAGCACCTGCCTGGAAAGTGTAGGGACCCAGGTTCAATCCCCAGTACCACATGCTATGCCAGCCAGGAACCCTGAGCACACAAGCCGATCACCAAAACTGGGCACGGTGGCACATACCTGTAACCCCAATGCTGGGGAGGCTGATGCAGGAGGATCACTACGAATCCAAGCTGCCTAGCGAGACCCTGCACCAAACAACTATATAAGTAAGATTCTAAAAAGAATTAAGAAGTCACATGAGTATTAAAAATATGGAGGCTACTCATGATGTATCCTTGCATAAAAAATAAGGCAAACTGTACAGTATGAGCTCATTTGTAGAACACCAAAAATGACACAAATGATACATCTCCTTGTATGCTTACATTTTTTAAATCTTTGCATATGTAAATAGAATGACCCAGGAGGATAATCCCTAAACTATTTCTAGTGTTTGAGTACGGATATTTGAGAGCAAGTGGTAAAGTCCTAATTTTTATTTTACACACTTCTCTGCTGCTTGAATTTTTGTTACACAGAAACACATTACTTTTACAATTTGAAAATAACTGGGAGGGGGGGTTCCCCTCTCAACAAATTAATACACAATATACCACACTGAAATTTTTAAAAAGTACCTCAACTCATCTACTGGTAAGATAAGCATTACATGCTATTAGTCATGGCATAACCATCCAATATCATGACTATGCATCAAATATGAACGCTTCACTTACCTCTTTAAGTGATAAATTTTGTGTGTAAACTGTCCCTTTTCTCCATCCTTCTCATAAGGCTCATTCTTTAAGACTTCAATTCCTTCACCACCACCAGTCTCATTCTTACTAGCCTCTGCGACTGAGTAAAGCTGTCCAACCTGATACTGAAAGAGCACAGAATTTTAACAAGTCGTGGTAAGTGCAGAAATCTCGTGCGCTAAAATCTTACTATAGGAGATACAGAAAAGTAAATCTCCAAGCATTCAGCACCTATGCTCTATATAAAAACATAACTCAAGTTAGAAATTAATGTTCAAAAAGACAAACACCAGTTAATATAGCTTTAATTAACTGTGTATTTTATAGGATTTCCATTATTCAAAAAAATCTGCCAATGAGAAATATTCTGTTGTTTTAATATATATTATCCATTCATCAAGAAAACTTCCTGGGCTGAGGAAATAGCTTAGTAGAAATAACACAGGAGAACCTGAGTTCAATCACCGGTACCGTTAAAAAAAAAAAAAAAAAAAAAAAAAAAAAAAAAAACCTCCTGACACTTGAGTTAATTTCTGCACAAGGCACACCTGCACTTCCCAACTCATTTTTTTTTTTTTTCACTTCTATTACAGCTCAGTTTTACAACATTCTCAATAAGGTATGGCAAGAATGAAACTATCACTTCAATTAAAATTGAGCAACCAGGCTGGGAAGACAGCTCAATGTAGTTGCTCCAATTACAGGTATTAACAAAAAAAATTGGTCAAAGTAAAAATCTGAAACATTAACTGCTACCTTAAAAAAACTAATAGAAATAAATAGTACAATCATCTTAGCTATCCTGTCTATGTTTTTAATGACGTTTTCCTCTTCCTCTTTTCTCCTTCCTCTCATCTCAATTACTATATTCAGTTTCTTTCCATTCTACTTTATCTATTGTACTTTCCAGATTTTATGTACTCTTTCAGGTTCTTACACTACAGAGGCAATACGATGTTTACACATGGGGGTCTGATTTATTTCATTTATGGGTATAACCTCTAGTTGCATCCATTTACTTATGAAAGCCTTGAGTTTAGCTTTCGTTATAGCTGAGTAGTACTCCACTGTATAAAAATACCACATCTTTTTTATTCATTCTTCAGGTGGTGGACATTTGTTTCCAAGATTTAGCTATGACAAATTGTGCTGCTATAAACATGGGTGTACATATATCATGGGGGCACGTTTTCAGTTCTTTTAGAAAAATATCCAGAAAGGGACAAGCTGGGTTGAATGGAACCTTTTAATTCTAGTTTTTGGGAAGTCTACACACTGATTTCCACAGTGGTTGTCCCAGTCTACAATCCCATCAACAGTGGAGAAAGGCTCCTTTTTCACCACAGCCAGACTTTGTTATTAGTTGATTTCTTTATGATATCTATTCTTTCTGGATGAGATGGCATCTCAGTGATGTTTTAATTTATATTTCTCGATGACCAGTGCTGTGGAATATTGTTTCATGTATTTATTTGCCATTGTATTTCTTCCTCTGAGAACCGTGTATTCATCTCAGATGCTCATTTTTGGATTTGGAACTTTTTTAGTTCTTTAGATATTCTAGGTAGAAGTCCTCTGAGTGACTGACTGTTGGTTACAATTTTCTCCCAATTTTTGGGTTGTCATTTCATTCTGTTGGTTATTTCTTTTGACATGCAGAAACTTCTCAGTAAGATGAGATTCCAGTTATTGATTCTTTGAAGTATTTCCTGTACAGTTCGGTCTTTGTTCAAGAACTCTCTGCCTACCCCTATGTCTTTAAGATTTCCACCTACTTTTTCTTCCAGTAGATTCATTGTTTCTGTTTTAATGTTTAGATCTTGAAGGATCAGAACTTTTAAATAAAGTTCTTTAGTAAACAAACTTTTTAAGGTTATAAATACACAAATATTACCCTAAGAGGCAGGAAACAGCTAACAGTAGCATCTATTTCATTTAAAATGAAACAAATTCTCTTTTTTTTTGGTTAATTTTGTTTGTTTGTTTGTTTGTTTGAGACAGGGTTTCACTATGCAGTTCAGGCTGACCTTTAATTCAATTACACAGCCCAGGCTGGCCCAGAACTCACAGTGACTCTCTTGCCTCAGCCTTCTCACTGACTGCATTACAGACAAGGGTCACCAAGGGCTGAACCGGATTTTAGTGGTATGCACCAACGCTCAATATCATTCTATACCACTAGCAGTTCCCAATAGGTAAAGCAAAGTTCTCATGGTCTAATTTGTTTCATAACCAAACCCTAACACTATCTCCAATCTCTTCAAATTTGACTAAACTTCTGTCTTCCAATGAAGATAGCCTCAAAAGTATATTTGTTTTTATAAGTATATACCAAAGAAAAGGCACAAAAGCCTACCTCTAAGAATTAGCAATTCAAAACTAACTTTTGCCAGCCCCGTACCAAGCCAGCCACTGAGACTGGATATGGTGGTGCATGCCTGTAATCCCAGCAATGGGGAAGCTGAAATAGGATAACTATGAGTCTAAGCTGCGTAGTGAGACCCTGTACCAAATAAAGAAAAAAAAAAAAAAAAGAAAAATAATTTTTTAATTGTTAAAAAAAAAAAAAAAGGCAAGGGAGATAGCTTAGTGTGATCCCTGTATGACCAAATCCCACTCCCCACCAAAAAAACCCAAAACCCAACAATTAACTTTTTCAGTACTGGTGATTAAACCCAGAACCTTTACACTGTACTATATCCAATGCTTTATTCATTTTGAAACAGACCCTTTCTATGTTGTCAAGTTGTCCTAGTTGAGCTTGAACCTGTGATCCTACTGCTTTTGTATCCAAGAGTACTATGATTATAGGTATATGCCATAATGATAGGTTTAAAATTTTTATTTGAGAGAAAAAATGACAGTCACCATAAGCTCAGGCAATATTCTTAAGTAAAAAGCTCACTAACACATGCTACCTTGCAGGTTAATTTAATAGTCAAAACCACATACAATCATACTCAATTTGAGTAAGGGATCTAAACAAATTGAGCTGGGACCAAACAAATATCCTATGTGCTTCCAAAATAAATATCTGTTGGGATTTTAGACTTCAGAATGCTGTTTCCTCTTTTAGAGCTTTTACATGACCCAACACTACAGTAAGTCTAGTAACACCAAGCTTAAGTCCTTCCAAATATACCTGGTAATACTGCTACATTTTAAAACAGGATTAAAATGTCTCTAAACCAAAAGTTAAATTTGGTCTTGATAAGGAACACAGGAACAAAAATGTACACAGACACAGCTAAACGACTATTCAAAAAAAGTTGCTAGTGAAGTGACAATCTGTAGTACACCCACTTTTCTCTTAATAACTTAGAAACAAGAGTGGTGCTTATTACATCCTGATATAACAAAAAGCTGAGATTATTGGGGTAAGATTATCAAGACATAAAGACTTCAACAATTTGATTCAACCAGCTAAAACCAAAAGGAAAACAATCTAGAATGTCAAGTTCCATATGTGAGTTTAAAAAATCAATTGTGCAAGTACAGTAAAGAACACGGGCGCCTGGTTTGTGTCTAGTGTATCAAAATACAGTGACACTCCAGGCACGAGATACATACAGCTGCGTCCACATCTGCACTCGACTGTCACGCAGCTTTCTGTAAGTCCCTGCAGCCCTCCACCCTGCATCCCTGTCTTCTGTCAGCTATTGCTTAACTTTTCAGTTTGTATTATCTTATTACTTCCAGTTCACAGCTTCGGCCCCTCTAGGAAAATGAGGTATTTAAACAAACGCACATATCAAAGTAAATTACAGGGCCAGGGAGGTGGCTCAGTAGACTAAGCGCTTCCCTGGCAAGTGCAAGGGTCTGAGTTCAATCTCCGGTTCCACCAAAAAAACAAAACAACAACCACCAAAAAACCAAAGTAAATTATATTAATAAAATGTTGCAGAAGACACTTACCTCCTGAACAGAACATGGCAAGACCACACGGCTGAAAAGACAAAAAAGAACATATATTACCTATGAAATGGCTTTAGAATATCTAACTTCAGACATAAAGGTGTTTATAGTTTAAATCAAATGACATCACTAATAGAACTCTTAAATCCAAAGACACAAGAGTCTAATGGCTATATCCAAAATGAGGTTTTTGGTTTTGTAACAAAGGTTTTTAAACTATAAAAATAAAACTACCATTTCTAGATCATGATGCTCATCTGCTCTGAACATCTATGGCGGACCTACCTGCAGCAGTGCTTGTGACGAGTAAGAAAAATACCTAAAACCCATCCTGAAAATTGTAAGGTACAGAATCTGTTACTTGTAAGCTGCCTAGTGAGTTGTTCTTACAGAATGTTTAACATTTACATTCACCTCTCCACACACTGCATTTTTTAAATGATGCTGCTCACAGAATACCCATTTTGAGTTTTGTGAACAAATGCTTTTTCCATGACCCAAGTATTCAGGTCTAAAAAGGTAGTAAATAAGAGCTCCCTTGGAACTAAGAAAAACCTTTAAGAAAACTACCTGGAGCCTTACAAATAGAGTAACCTTTTCCATCACAGAGTCAACTGCTATGTGTTTGATCCCGTCCCAGAAAATGTATTACTGATTACATCAAAAGGATACTTTTAGACTGGTATGGTAGCACACACCTATAACTGCAGCACTCAGGAGGCTGAGACAGGAAGATGGCTGTTTAGGACAGACTGGGCTACAAAGTTGAGTTTAAGGCCAGAGTGAACTACACAGAGAAACCCTGTCTCAAAAAAAAAAAAAAAATTTTTTTTTACACTTTCATTTTACCCAATATACAGACGAACTAAAAAAATACTGTCATTTATTATTTTATCGTAATACTGCATTTTATCTAGATTTTTATAAGGAAATCTTTTAACTTTTCACCATGAATTTATTTTTACCACACATTCCAAAAAATCAAAGCCACTCCCATATGTCAACTATGTAAAAGCTGTCTCATAATAACTGGCTTCCAAAGTGGCATACCTCCCATCCTAGTCCTTGAGGGAAGGAGAAACAAACCAAAAAACCCTCACAGTCATCTCACTCCTCATTTGTTAAAAAATCCCAATGGTTTTACTCATTCTAATTTTTCTTTTCTTCAGCTGCCTTTTCTCTTTACTTTGCTCTAAAGAATTTGTTTGTATCACCAACAATCTTTTCAACATAAGCCAATCTTAATTTTCTCTACAAAAACACGAAACAATATAACCTAGAATTAATGTTACATTTAGCTTACATGCAACTGCATGCTCTACCCTGTCCTTCTATTCTCAAATATCTATGCCTGAATGTTTACCTAAAAATGACCAATATTCCCAAACACACGTAGTTAATTTTTGGTCTCATAAAGAACAAATATGTTGTCCCTCCAGGGCTAAAAAATCCCTAATAGTTTAGCTATTTCCTTGGGGCACAGAGTTTTGCTCACAAGGAGACATACACTAAGAGATGAGACGTGAGAAAAATTCAGGTTGGGACACATTTTCAGGGCTTAGCCACAATGAAAAGAAATTTGTTAATTAGAAAGTCTGCTTCAAGAGATGAGTGATGTAACTCCAGCTGCCCTCAGTAGAAGAGGTCATCCAGAGGCGGCCAGAAGCAATGAGCAGCAGGAGAATGAGAAGTCTTTTGGGAGGCTCTTGGAGCATTAATAAAAGCCTGAACAAAAATGTGGAACTACAGAGAAAAAGGAAGTGGGAAAAAGTTTTCCCCGAAGTTTCGCAAAGCCAAAGAATCACAGCTGAGAATTTATCAAATACTAACAGGAAGATCCCCATTTTTGTTTAACAACACTTGAGAAACCTCTTGCACAGAAGGAAAGTGATTAGACACTGAGGAAGATGAGTCAATTAACATCAAGATTTGCTTAATAAAAAATAGAAAAAAGAAACAGGGTTTGATTTTCCATTATTACGCTAAAAGCAATATTCACCTTTCAAGGGAGCCAGGTAAAGATTTGCAATCTGCTCTGAAAGCATTATTAAATATTTTTTCCCAAATGGAGCCAACAACAAAGTCCTCACTACTAATTCATCTACTGCTTAACAAATAAAAGAGAATTTGCTTACCCTCACTTTTTAATCTTTTAATAAAAAATAGGTGAAATTTTATAAAGCAAGAATTTGCCAAGGTTCTTTGGTTTACCAGTATCTTCATTTAGGAATGACCTATTCGTTGCTCCTGAATTAAAACAATCTTAGAAAGCTGAATGAAAAGCAGGAAGGATAACTTCTTAATTCAACAACACTAAGTATTTACACTATTCTAGACCAGGCGCTGTCCTGGAAACTGGAAATACTTAAAATGAGAAACAACCTCCTCCTTCTCCTCCTCCTCCTCCTGAAAAAAAGTCTAGGAGGAAAAAATGGATCTGAAAGACACACAGGAAAAATAAACATAAAAAAAAAGTACCACCCTTAGAAAAAACAGTTAAGACTTCAGGCATACCTCAATATTTGTTACTTCAGTACTCTTAAATTTACATAATGAAGGTAAAGATTTGCAAAAAGTATAGTGTGCAAATTCCCTGAGGGTACTGCTTTCCAAGCATTAGCTTGATATTAGGTATTAAGAGTAATAAATGATACTTGCTCAGTACTGCACAGCAAAGGCATCTGCTGTATCCTTAATTCACATTTTTAGAGAAAGTTCACTCTAATAAAGTGACAAGATATCTGATCTATAATCGGTTCTCTTAACTTTGGCTCTTTGGCTTGGGCCAAGCTCAATTTTGTCTGTCTTAACTCCTCCATTAGTCTTGTGTCTGCCACTAGGTTCGTATCAGAGGTATGAGAGTAACAAATGATACTTGCGTGATACACTGTTAAAACAGATTTGGAAAAAAAAAATTTATGGAAACCCAAAGTTCAGTACTATCAATAAATAAGCTTTACCTGCAAAACGTTATAGTAAAAGCAAAAATGTCTTTCCCCAGGATCTGTCACTGACAAACGCGGTAATTTTTCATCAATTCATCTAACTAATGAGACTCTGAAAGCGAAAGAAAGTGGCAACATGGGCAAATTCCCCGCGCTTACGTGTAGTGGCTGGAACATAAATCCCCTGAGGGATTCCAAGAGCATACACCTGGAAGGAGAGTTGGTGCGCTCAGGAAGAGCTCTTCAGACAGAACAGGAACAAACCCAAAGCCCTAAATTGAGCTTACATATTTGTAGAGTAGTAGTGGATTTGAGAGGGTACAGTAAAAGTAGTACATGAGATAAAAACAGAAAAAAACATGTTCAGGTTCTGTAGGCAGTTTTAAGTACATAAATCATTTTTCTTTCTTCGGCCAAGTCACTAAATTGCCCAAGCAGGGATTAAATTTGCCATTCTCTTGCCTTGCTGGGATTACGGGAGTGCCCACCACGACACAAGGCACCAAAAATAAAATGTCTGGTGGGGCATGGTGGCACATGCTTGTAATCTCAGCACACAGGAGGCTGAAGCAGGAGGCTTGCCCAGAATTCGAGGCCAGGTTAGGCCAACAACCTGAAGCAGCAAAACTCTATCAATAAATAAATAAATAAAGTGAAGTAACTTAGGTCGAGACAAAAACAAGAACGGCCCATGCCAATTTAATCCTAGTTATTCCAAGAGATACTGAGGACAGGAACCAGGTGTGACACCGGACAAGGACACTGACTGCCAATCAGACGTTTTGCGATGGGAAAACGCCATATGGAAATGACTTTGCGGATGTGTTGCTCAAGTGTCTAGCACCTCACCTCGATCCGGCGAACTAGCTGGGGCCCCGAGGGTCATCTCATCGTACAGAGAGGGGAACTGAGATTCGGAATGGGAAACGCCCCTCGAGGCCAGTCCGTTGAGCATCCCAGCGCAGCGCAGACTGTGCGGGTCCCGGCTCCAGCACGAACTGCGGGACTCCAACGTGCCCACACCAGGGCAGCCTCCACCTGGCAGTCCCATCTCCCGCGGGACACCAGCAAGACTCCACCCCGGACGACGAATCACAGACAGATCACCCCGCCCGCCCGGTCTTCACATTACAGCCCGGTCCCACCCGCCTGGGGGTGGCCCCAGACCACAAGTGGGGGGCGGGGGGACAGAAGGTGGTCCTGGCGGAAACTCCCAGCCGCGCCTTCCCAAGCCACACGCAGCGACGCAGACCCAGCAGCCGGCGCCCGGGAGGAGACGGCTGTTACCATGGCAACCCCTGGGTTCCAGGGCGCACCGCGTAGGGTCCTCGGGTGGCCCCGGGCACTTGCCGGGGGTGGGGGGCGGCGCAGGAAGCTACCGGCCCGGGGCTCACTCCGTCTTAGGAACACTTTGCCATTTTTCAGCCAATAAATCGCCCACCACCGTCGTTTCACACTCCCGCTCGCGCCCACCGATCCACTCACAATTCTTTGATCACCACCATCTTCCTGGAACCCCCTTACAACTGCCACTGCCACCGACCCCGCTGCCGCCGCCACCGCCGCCACCGCCTCTCAAGACGCAGGCGCGGCCCCGCCTACCTACCCTCGAATCGCCGCTGCGCCTGCGCGACCACACCCTTCCGCCGCGACCCGGCGCGTCAGCGCGCCGGCGGTGGCTAGTTCCGCCCAGGCCACGCCCATCCCGGAGGCGTGAGGCCTCTATTGCGCCTGCGTGGCCCTCCCGTGTGCTTGCGCGCGCGCGACCTCCGCGCCTGGGCGCGCGCACGCCGACGGCTCGGCTGGGTTTCTCCTTCCAGCCCGAGTCCCTCTGGGCAGCTGTGCAGCCTACGCTTTCCGCTGGTGTTCTTGTCGGTTTCCTGGAAGGCGTTGGGCGGTGCCAGTATTGTTCTGTCTCACTGCTTTGAGAAGAAATCTGTCTTCTTGACCGGCGCCTCACTTAAAAGAGTTCTCACGGGTTCTGGAAGCTGAAACGTCGAGGTCTCCGAGTTCATTTGCCCTCCCGGTTCCGTGGCCTCCGATTCCGTGGGAACATGTTGCAGAAAGCCAGCACCTGTTTTTTAGGCCTGAGAGTTTTAGTTTCCGGTCCTAGATCCTTGTACTCAACATAGGCTTTGCCCACGAGAGGGTCAGTAGAATCAAATTAATTTTGCTAGTCTATACCACCGCTTGTCTCATGACTTTTCTTTGTACGTGGTTTTGGGGTGAAGAGCTCATTGCAAACAATCAGTTTTACTAAGGCAAACCCAAAGATTTCTTGAACACAGACGTTGTGTAATATTTTATGCACTGGTTGATAGAACAACTCTAGTCGAATATATTTGCTATCTTTTACGTATTATAATGGGAACTAGTCTTTTTTTACCCCTAAAACGTAGATATTCTTAATCTGGGATCTAAAGATTTGTGTGTGTATGTGTGTGTGTGTGTGTGTGTGTGTGCCACCCCAAGGGAACTTGTGAGTCCGTGAATTACACACGTGATTTCTTTTCTACGCGTTTGTTGTCAGAAGAGGCCTCGCTTACTCGGTATTTTTCCGTTCCTTTTTCCTCCCACTCCATTTGGGGATGATCTTGATTGAGATTATTTCCAGGAAAATAGAAATATTCTTAAGAATGCTTAACTAGCAATATTCCCAAGAATGATCAAGGCTTAGATTATAATGTACTGCTGGGGGAGAAACAGGGTTGCAAGACTTGGGCCCCAGAATTGTGGCTTTGCCGCTGAAAGGTGCCGCTATCTCCTGAATAAACGACAATCTCAAGACACTAGAATTAGGCATCTGAAGAAAAAGACATACAAAAATTTAAAAAGATTAAAAAGACATATCGTGATCAGGTTTATTGAATGAATGATTAAGTATATAAAGCACCTCTATTACTCATTGCCTGATCTATGACAGATTTTTTTGAGTGAATGAGACCATTTAAAATTTTCAGAGAGCAGAAAAATAATTTAAAATAAGTTTCTGGGGCCAGGGAGATGGCTCAGTAGAATAAGCGCTTCCCTAGCAAGCACGAGGGCCTGAGTTCAATCCCCAGTTCTGCAAAAAATAAAAAAAAATAATAATAAGTTTATAAGGTTACTACTACCTGAAATAATTATCCTCGTGCATAAATTAGAAATTCATGTATATGGATATATACACTTGTATATCACATTGGCTGTAATAATTTATCCTTTACTTACAGTGCATAATACAGATTACAGTTCTATGTTGTCACCAGCATCTAGCACTTATTTGTCGCCTTTTTGCTGACTTTAAAATACTATCAATACATGTTCACTACATTTCTTCGTATGATGACAATCTTTGTTACTGGCCACATTTTCACTCTTGATTCTTTTCCTAATTGGTAAGAGGTTTTAGCGTGCCCACAGACGTTCTGGATTTAAGTTGAAAATGTATGTGCACTCTCTAAATATAGTCATACTTTGGCTTCAGAACACGACTAGCACAGTACTCTTGGCATTTTGATGAGACAGTTTATTTCAGGGCTTGGCACTTCCTCTGGATTTGGTGCCCTTGTTCGAACTCCTGAGTCAGGACAGCATCCCACAAGAGCTGTTCAGTCCCTTTCCGCTTGGTTCCCTTGTGTTTTGATGAAAGGGGTCCCGGTGTCAGTCTCACAGTCGCTTGGGAACAGGAGAGGACCTCCCCCATGTTTATCATTACTGTCTCATACTTTGTGCATTTTAAGTGTTAATCATGCGTCACAAAAAGATCAAGAGTGATAGCCATAGAAGCCGTTAATAAGAACCTTTGGAAAGAAAAAGGAGATTGTAGCTAAGTATAGGGGTAACTGCTCTTGCTCTTCTGTGCAAGATGCCCAGATCAACACTATGAATGACGGTGAGAAATAAGCGAGGTTACAACAGCAAGTGTTGCTAAAAGATATGCCTGAATCAGCAATATTCAGAGATAGTGGAAGAAGTCGAAAAATCGCTTTGCAAATGAGTTAATGAAGAACAGCAGGTGACAGCATGTCTGAGGCAGTAATTTGCAAAAGCGCTAACCAAGTGGATGCTGGTCTCTTCATACAGACCTTCATTCTGAATTGCAGATTCCCATAGCGTCCTTTCCCACTGAAAATATGCAACTTAGCATAACAGTAGCCGGCTGTGCATCTCAGGGGCTGTGCTGGGTGAACATAGGAAGAAGTCTTTGGGGTCACCCACTTGATACAATGACCAGCAGGTTGTATGCACATTTGTCAAAGTGTAAACGGGTGAGTTTTACACCGTTATGTGCTGCATTATATTTTGTGTATTGAAATTATTTTTATTAAATGTTTGCTTTTGATTTTTCTTGTACAATTAGCCCAATTTGGTAGCATAGCTCATTAAAATCTTTTACAACTTTGGGAGGAGGTTGAACAGGAGTCATCAGGTGACTTGGCTACCAGTGATGACGTAGATTGTGGAAGTCAAAGATGCTAGCAAGGTAGGAAAGGTAGAGGAGTACAGAATGAAGATCTTGATCATAGCAATGTAAGTAAATATTTGACTAGTCAAAGTGCTACAAAATGGCCATGTATACCTGAACAATCTAATGTTAGAACTAGGTCAGAAAATGTTATAGGTCCTTACCAGTAGTGAAACCTATCGGACAGAATGCCAACACTGCAATTCAGTGTTGGGAATTATAACATATGATGCTATGAGATGTTTTGAAATACAGTAATAGTGAAATACAAGTAAAACATTCTACTTGTGTCAATAGTAATACTCAAAAATATATTTGTCATGCCATCTCACTATCAACTAAATGTCTTCATAGTGGGGCTTTATTATTCTGATTGTCAGAAGCTAAAGGATTCACAGAGAAGTGACAAATGTGGTGTTCAGATTTTTGGTTTTCTTTAAAATTGCCTATGTTTTGATGATAGAGCTACCAAGAAAGAAAGAAAAAAGTCTGACAAATTGGCTGCTATTCACTCATGTTTTTCTTTTATCTTTTCTGAGATAAGGGTTCACTGTGTGGTTTAAACTGGCCTTGAACTCACTCTTTAGCCCAGGCTGGCCTCAAACTTGTAGTCACCCTCCTTCCTCAGCCTCCCAAGTGTTGGTAATACAGAATGCAGCCACACTTGGCTTACTCCCCTTTTAAAAGCTTTGGGTCAGATTGTCGAGAACTTTATACAGTGTCGGAATAGATGACAAACAACTTGCGTATTTTATTATAGACAGCTGAGTTAGGGAGGCAGTCTGCCAGGGCTGGGCCTCAAGGAAGTCAGTGTAGGAGATGAGAATGCATCAAGACTGGCTATAGGTGCATCTGAGGATTAAAGTCACATGGCTAGTTGTACACACTTCCCTTAGGGATGAGTAGAGACTTGGAATTACTGGTGTCACCTTTTATATCTCATTTGGGCTGGGCCATCCTCTCCTACCTACTAAAAACTAAGACCACTAAGACTAAAGACAAGACCAAGACTATAGGATTATGGGCCAAGGTTAATGCTTTCACTCATCATTTGCTACCAAATCAGTAGTACCTAAGCAACTATTCTTGCAGTCTTATTGGTTGATCATTATTTTGACCCATGTTGTATCTACCTCATGATTTTTCTCTGTAAAATTTCCTTTGAGAGGTGGGCTTTTTAATAACTCATTTGGGACCCCTCATGTCTCTCAGGATCTAATCCTATTCTCTATTCCCCCATTCCTATTCTTCATTCCTTTTCTCCAATAAATTTTCCTGCTCTTAACTCCTATTATTCCTTAGAATTCATTCTTCAACTTTGGGGGACACCAACTCGCTGTATTTGACATCTAGCATTTTCCTTGTATCAATTTCATGCTGGTTGAAATTTTCAGCAGTCTTTGCCAAGTAAACCTTCCACAAATGTCATAAAAATATATGCCCTTGTAAGACACAAAGAATTTCTAAATTCTTGAATTTAGAAATTTATCTTGAAGCTGAGCCACCTGGTTTTTGTCTTTATTCATGAACTTATAAACCTTGTTGATATAGGGAGGAAATACAGTTCCCAACCTGCCTGATGTCAGATATGCCAAGTTAATGTTTCCCAAAATTGAAGAATGAATTCTAGGAAACAACAGAGGTTAAGAGTAGGAAAATTTATTGAGAGAGATGGCTTGCTGAGAGAGAAGAAAACCAAAAAGTGAGTGGTCACGAAGCCCACTTTTCTGAGAGTTTTACAGAGAAAAAAAATCACAAGGTGGGTACAGCATAGGTAAAACTATAATCGACCAATAAGAATTCAGGGATAGCCTCTTAGCTAGCAATGATCCAACAGTGAAATGTGGCACATAGCAAAGGCTTATGGATGACACTGTTAACCTTGGTCCCAGTCTTAGTGGATAGGAGAGAATGACCTACATCCAAGAGGTAACAGCCTATTTACATGGGAAATCTCAAAGGGGTGGTACCAATAATCTCAAACTTCTTTTTTTTCCCCTCAGGGAATTATATAAATCTGTTCATTGTGACTTTTAGCATTGTTTAGATGCGCCTCTAGCCATAGTTATGCTGTGTTCTAATCTCCTGAACTGACTCCCTCAAGAACCTAGGCCTGTCTGCCTACCTATTATAT